ATTTTGTTAAATGTTTGCAGTGAGATTTCAATAATATTGTATTTTTCTATAGTTTTATTAGCAATTTAGCAAACTTAATTCAGGGTGTATCCAGTTGATAAATGCTGTATAGAACACAGCTATGAAAGAGTGCTCTGGGGTTTGCGTGACTATGTGACAATTGTTGTGGGTTTGGGAAAATGGCATGATTGTGCAACTCCTTAAGAAAATATTTAGAATGCAACTGTAAACTGCTGACACTGGCAGAATATTTCAAAAATCTTTGATCTTTACCTAAATCTAATTTGTTGACATATGTTATTATCTTGGTAAACTGCATACAACAATACCTGTATTTGATTTACACAGCTGGTCTTTCATGGGAGTCCCTGTCCACCTTTCAGTCAGTATATAGTCTATATATTACACTGATTCAAGTTTCACAACCTTATGTAGCCTACACAAAACGTCTCTAGGTTACGTATGTAACCATGGTTCCCCGAGGGAACGAGACGCTGCGTCGAGATCGCTTTGGGAACGCCCTTGCGTGACCGCGTTCTGAAGCACGTGTCAAATCCGTCCAATGGAGAAGCGAGACGTCACGAGCGGGGTGACGTAAGCACCAGAAAGCATAAAAGCGCATCCGGCAGAGCGCAAACCAGCTTCGATGAAGTAGCGCCTGCAGGGATGCAGGGAGTATGGCAAAGAGACGCAGCGTCTCGTTCCCTCGGGGAACCATGGTTACATACGTAACCTAGAGACGTTTTAGTGTAGTTAGATTATTTTTTAGGCAAATGAAACAATGAAATTAATTGATAAATATTTGTCTGGTCTTGCATGATGCAGTTTTTCATCTCTGGTACGGATTACCGTCATTGCTAACTCATTTTATAAACTCTTCTTCGCCCCTTCAAACCCTCAGTTGTTTATAGAATGAGGATGAATTGTAAACTGTTGTAAAGTTATTTGTCAACAGGCTGATGTGGAATTTTGGGAGGGAAATGAAAAGCAGGTGCATGATCAACTATGAAAAGCCTTAACAAGAAGGGTGGGCGCAAAAAGTAAACATGGCACTTGTCTGTACAAAGACCTGTATTGTACTGTGTGCCTTAATTTAATCTATTTCATATTGGGCTTTTAAAAGTGTCTGAAATCTGAGCTCCCTCTGAGGTACATTTGTTGTATTTTATGATTATTAAAGGAGTAATTTCCCAGAAATGAAAATTGTGTTATCATTCACTCGTCATGTCTTTCTCAATAAACTTGTATGAATTTCTCTCTTCCGTGGGGAAAAAAAAAGAAAAAAAAGTTATTTTTCAGAATGTCCATGCTGCCGTTTTTTGATACAGTGAAATTGAATGGGTACCATGGCTGATAAGCATGCTTTTTAATAAATAATGAATTTAAATTCCTGTCTAATTAGCATGGAAATTATAGAGTGTCATATTTTTGTGGGGCAGCTCAGAAGTTCGCATCACCCTGGTTCCCCTGACAAAAAATAAATAAAAATCTCACTTTTGGATTATTGCTGTTTTGCATGTTTTGTCCATCATGATAATCTTCACAAATTAACACAATTTAAAAATCTGAAGCATCAATATCACCGGAAGTAAAAAGCCAAACATAGGCTATAAATGAATTACACCACAATCACATGACTCTTTTAGTCTTTATTTAAAAACATTTTCCCAGTAAGTTTAAGTTAGAATAGTTTGCAAGAATGTGATTATTAAACACAATGAAGCTGTACACTGTAAAAAAAAAAAAAAAAAGATCGATTGAACGGCCGATAGCTCTGGCCGTTTCTTTGGTGGCCCGGAGGGACAAATCTGTGGCCCGACGCAGTTCAGCTACCACGTCGGATTCCCCCTCCTCCCTGTCATCCAGGTCCTTGAGCAGGTCAGCCTGGTACGCTTGTAACACCGCCATGGTGTGCAAGCATGCGCCAGCCTGACCTGCTGCCATATAAGCTTTCCCAACCAGAGTAGATGTAAGCTTAACAGGCCTGGTGGGAAGCTTCGGGGCCTTCAGGGACGATGCCGAGGATGGGGAGAGATAGCTCGCGAGCGTCTGCTCCACCATTGGCATCGCCCCATATCCCTTCTCGTTCAGCCCCACGATATTAGAATAATTAGAGACTGTGGGGCTATATATACGGGAAGAATACGGTTTTTCCCACGATCTTGACACCTCGGCATGGAGATCGGGAAAAAACGGAAGGCCCCGTCGTGAAGGCTGTGACCTCGCTTTCAGGAAACGCTCGTCTAGTTTGCTCTTAGGACGAGCGTCCTGTTTCTCGGCTGGCCAATCGATATTTAATTTCGCTACAGCACGAGTCACAACCTCCACGAGCTCCTCATACGCGAGGGACTGCGGTGGCGAGTCCACAGTCTCCTCTGTCTCGACACTCATCCCTTCTACCTCCTCGGAGGAAGATAGATGAAGCGTCTGGCTCTCTCTCTCTGGGGGGGGAAGAAACCGCAGCGCGGGCTTCCGAACCGTGAGAGAGAGCCGCGGATCTAGCGGTTGAGGACCGAGAAAAGGACGAGCCCGTCTCGGATCCCTCCGCTAAATCCACTTGCGATCCCCATGACAACAGTCTGCGCTGTGCCTCGGCAACAGCGGGACTGCTGCCAGCGGGATCGCGAGCCTGGCCGTTCTCATCAAACACAGCCAGGCGAGAGCGGAGCATACGCAGCGAGAGCTCGCAGTGATGACAATCAGCTGCTCGAAAGCTGACCGTGCATGCTTCGCTCCTAAACAAACGACACACAAATCGTGTGTATCCCCTGCCGTCAGATATCGTGGGCAGGGAGGAACACAGCGTTTGTACTGCCGTTCGCTCGCCATAGACTTTTTCATTGTTTTCTTATATATATATGAGTGCTTGTGCGGACAGACAACAGTAAATAGACAGACACATACACAGAGCGCTACTGAAGAGCAGAAGCTGGTTTGCGCCCGGCCGGATGTGCTTTTGTGATTTCTGGTGTTGACTTCACCCCGCTCGTGACGTCTCGCTGCTCCATTGGACGGATTTGACACGTGCTTCAGAACGCGGTCACGCAAGGGCGTTCCCAAAGCGATCTCGACGCAGCTCGAGTTCCTGAAGGGGAACTTACTTCATTCTGAAACAGACAAGTACTTGATGTTCAGTCAGTGATTCAGATGTGGATTCAGTTACTGCTCTGACAGATTCAACAAGTTCATCCAGTGAAGGATTCATCATTCTGATTCAGACAAGTAGCTTTTAAAATGATTCATTAAAAGAACTAGCTTGTTTCTGAATTGGACAAAACTTGCCATGTCACTCATACAGTATGTTTGTATTTTGCTATATTTTTATCTAATCAGATTGCAAGCTCACATTCACAACCCGTGTGCACTGAAAGATTCTGCCTCCTAAAAGAGGTGTAGGAATCACTTCTCTAATGCATTTAGTTATTTAATATTCATCCAGGTCACAGCAGAAGCCTATAATAACTAGGAATGTATCCATTGATAATTAAGTTAAAAGTATTTTCACTTCGGCTGGGGATATGTGGGAATCTGTCACCCCCAATAAACTAAGCCAAGTACAGCAGAGCAAAACATGTCGTTTAAGTTGGATTCTGTTCAGGAATGGCAAAATGAGGACCCACAATTTGCAGATGTTTGTAAAGTTATCTGCCTGGGTGTGTGCAGTGTGTGCTTAACTGTGTGTTGGGTGTGTGTAGGGGGGTTGGTCTAAAATAACTTTCTGCTTTGGCATGCGTAAAGGACATGAGATTGGGAGACTGCTGGCTAGTTAGTTTCAAAAGGGATATTACTGTCAATATGACGTGAACATTTTCAGTCTTTATAATGAGAATTTTAATCACATAGGTTATTGGATAATACTACAAACCTGCATCAGCTCTGGTTCATTTTTGGTATGGGACTCCCAGTTTTAACAATCCAGTCGATTCCTAATAGACAATCAAGTCTTGTCCTTCATTTTCCACTTTTGTTAGTAAACTGGGCTGCGAATGAGAATTCATGTACACGTGCATGTAAACGTCCATGTCTTGAACTCAGTAGTGTCCGCATTATAAAGTGTCCCTTTATGGTGCATAATGGGTGGTTGCATAGGATAGACGAAGGATGAGGCTCTCTTTAAAAGTACAAACGTCCAGCACACCAGATCGTGTTCCCTGGATACCCAGCATCTATTTATTATCCTTCTCCCCTCTGTGACCTCCCCTTTATTTTAAACCTCTGATTCATCTGCAATTCAACCCCTAAAAACCGCAAAACACCTCTAAGTTTACAGCCTCTGGACGATACCATGAGCAGGTGTAAATGAAGTGAGATTTTTCAATAATTTCTGTGCGATGTATTGATGCCTTTATTTTTGGAATCCCATCATACAGTATGTTGTGTCTAGAGAACACTAAAGGATACAATAGCAGTTTAATTTAATTCGCCCTATAGAACTGGTTGCTAGCAAGCAACAAGTTGACATCAAGAGGAGAACATCTATTTGTTGGTTTTATAACAGCAGGAATCTGCCAATTAAGATTAGTCTATCTTGTCACAGGCGTTTGCTCTGCATGTTAGCGGATGAAGGGATGCAAGGCGATAAACTTCTAACACAGGGTGTCAGCCTTATTGGCAAGTCAGGAAACCATCGTGGTCACTGAGGGCTATTTGATGTGACATCTTTTTAACCTGGTCGGGTTAAAATAGAACTTAGCGGCTGGTGTGATGCAATCACCACGCATAGCTGAAAGCTCCTGGGATTCTGGATAGAAATTGCAGCCAGCGAATGGACGGCAGAATGTGCTTTTCAGGTTAGTGCTTAGACAGACATCGCTGGGGACATGGACTTGAAATGGAATGGGTGGGGGTTGTTGCTAATATCTATATCCTAGCAACTGAAGGGGTATGATACCATGTCCAGTTGTTGTCAGGGATTGGTCAGCATGTTGGCATTGACGCCGCCCCTTTGCTTGTGGGCTGTAGAAAGATTAAACCAAAATTAAAACATCCTCCACACTTGATTCACTCCTGTGCACTTGACCTTCTAGCACTTTAATCTGCCTCACGGTTTCTTTTTTTGTTTATGTTTTTCATTTATTTGTAACTCCAGATCTGCTGTAATACATGTGCTTGGGCCACTTGCCGATAACCTTGACGACCTCAGTAAAGACCCCAGTCTGGCAGTATGACCTCTCCTTATGCAGCAGTACAGTTCTGCCCAGAGCGAGCCTTTCAACGGTAAGATGGGAGTTACAGTTTGTTGGCCAGTTCTGAAGAGCCATTTGTAAGGTCACTAGGTTTATCTTGACCACTTACTTGGGCATGCACACATGGTGCATGTGGTTTTATTTAGTTGCTTCATTTGTAAATAGATATGAGCACATATTGCAAAGCAGTGCCTGCCTGTTTCTATGGTCCAGAACAGTGTGTTTGTTCTTATTCTTCTCATTAAAGAATTACTGTTTGGACTGAGACATGCTGGAGGTGCTAACAGTTGTGTCTGGTTCTCCAGCTGCTGCCTGGCTATGATATTTATAGGTGTGGTGTTCTTATGGCGACAAAGAAAGTATTTTGTGCAGTTTAAGGTGAACTGTCTGGATACTCGATCCTCAGCCTGCTTGTTTGTTAGCTCTTCATGCACTTGCTAATGGACATTTGTTTTTGTGGATCTGAACAGAGTTCAAATCTAAATAAAGCTATATTATTATAGCTAGGGATTCAGTTTTCATGCTTGTATCGTTAATGATGTTCTAATGTAGTATTCCATTTAAATTGGCACCTCTTTAAAAAGGCAATTGAAATAGCAGTTTCATACACTACATGCATTTTTAAATACCAGCTTTCCTTAGCAGCTCTGAATATTTAATCTATCAACTAATAAATTATGGTAAAATAGGTTATATAAAACGAATAGCACCGTTTTTTTTTCTAATGAGATACTTGTGGCCTTTATGCAATTTGGTATGTTGACAGTAGTCACAGGGTAAGATAGGGAAAAATGAATGCTTGTTCATGTCTGGTTATTTTCAGGTCTGTAAAATTCTCAAAAATATATTGTTTAATTGTACTTAAATGTAAAAATATTGCTAATCTAATGCATGTAAATTTCAGTTGAAAAAAATGGTGCTAGTTATCACTTTCTGTGTAGGCATGTAATGTAAAGTTTAATTTTAAAATATATATATATTCCACTATCTTTTCAACCCTAAAGGTTGTTCAAGAAAAAAAAATGAATGAATAAATAAAATGTTCATTTATGCGGCATGTTGTCTAATTATTTGAGGAAAGAGGTTCCAAAGAAGCCTGCCCTTACACAGTATTTGATTGATTTTTAGCTAAATTAAAATTGACAATTCATTAAACATAAAAAAATTGCACATTTTTGCCTTTTTATATGAAAGTTGGAAAGCAAAAATGGATTTAATAAATTTAGTAAATGTGTCAAATTTAAAACATGTGATGGCTTAATTATTAGCTGAATAAGCTGAAAATTTGCCCTAACAATTGATTTTGATTAATTTACACTTGTTTTTTGACCCTTTCCTGAATGCTAGTGTGGTTTTACACAATCTTCATTTGTTTACCCAACAGCTGAGGAAAAAATTATGTTGGAATTTTACTGAAGAATAAAATTCACAAAAAAAAACTATTCTAATGTAAAGTTTTAAACCAACAAAACACAAAACCAGAGAAAACATTTGTAATTTATGTAAAACCTTACCGTTACCATAATATATCCCTTTTTGACATCAAGCAGCCTCACTTACCTCTAGGTTGTTAGGTCTTAGCCTATGAGCACATGTGGGTATACCTGCAGAGACTGTTGTTTTTGTGACTGATCCAGCTGCTATCAGTAGGTCTAACCACAAAACAGACGTGTAAAGAGTAAAAATAACCTCAACAGAGGTTCTCAAAATAAGATGAACATGCGTTTCCTTTGAAGTCAAATGCTCAAAAAGTTAGACCCTCTTGGAAAGATAAATAATCAAATGGGTGAAAATGCTGTGTAGATTTTGTGATTGAGTAATATTTAATTACCAAGCAATTAAATCATATTGTCACACACCTGGGGCAAGTTCAAGCTCAAACCGGTGTGCACCGTTTTGCTACGGTTTCCGTTTTGAACTACATGTTTCCTGGAAACGGTGTGCAACGGTGTGCAACGGGGTTTGAGATGCGTTTTCTCTTGTTTGGTGGGTGTGTCAAAAATGTCAGCCCAATCAGCAGCAACATGTATAGAACACAAGGAATGGCCTTCTCAGCTGCCATAGTTGCAACTCTTGCGTCATCAGAACACGGTGTTCAACGCACCACCGTTTCCGTTTAAAAAATGTGTTGCACCGCTTTTGTCGCGGCTGAACGCAGCCCTGTTTACTATGATATGCTTGTACTACATCTGTTCTGTTAGGAAAAAGCATACTTCACATATTTACCTCATTAATAATGCTATTTGAACAAAGCTGATTGTGTATTTCTTACAACCAACAGTGAACATTTATTATAATTTAAAAATCGAATAAAATCGAATATAAAAAAATGTAATACATGACTATTCCTTATTGGCATGCAGACACATTTTTTAAATACTAAATAAGCAAGTGCAGAGTGAAACAAGGCCATATGAAATTTTATAACTTTGGGACAGTTCAGTCCTTTGCCACATTTAACAGAAATTGGGGCCGTTCACAGTGAAAGCATGTGTCTAAATGGAGGAGAAATCATGGGGGCCACCATTCTTTTGTCTGAGCCACCATGTCCATCCTGCAGCCCCGGGTTTGAAGGATGAGGGCAGGGTCGGCAGATCCCTTTGAACGTTCCCTGGCCTCTGATTAATGAAGATAGTGGAGAAGCCCCTCTCACTTGTCTCCCCAGATTGCACGGCTCTGTTTGTTTTGATTGCATTTTCATCGCTGGATGTGCCCAACCTGTCAGGAGACAATGGGCAGCCCTGTTTGACAATTGTAGAGCCATTTAGCATTCTCAGAGAACTATAAATGAAACAGTCTTCCATGATATGTGATATAGATGACATACCCCTGTGACATAAACCCTTTGCTTAAGTTGCTTCCGCTGGTTCATTGATCGTTGCTTCTTACTGAGTTGTTTATAGGGCTTTTTAAAATTAAAATGTTGCTTTATGTAATTAAAATGGTATTGTTTCCATAATCCCAATTAGAATTAAAGGGATAGTTCAATCCAAAACTCATCCTCAGGCCATACAAGATGTAGATTACTTTTTCTTCTTGAGTAGAGCAGTAAAGATTTTTAAAGGGGTCATGTGATGTTGCTAAAAATAACATTATTTTGTGTATTTGGTGAAATGAAATCTGTTTAAGGTTCAAAAAACACATTATTTTCCACATACTGTACATTATTGTTTCTCCTCTATTTCTGAAACGCGTCGATTTTTACAAAGCTCATCGGACGCCTTCTTTCTTTGCGTGAACATTTAGGCGGCTTTATGCAAATCTTCCCACATCGTGACGTAGACATGGGGACGTGTTAGAACGAGCCATTTTAGGTAGGCGTGGTTGACTCTTAACTTTTATAAAGAATATCTCTTTGGATTTGAGACTTTAGTCTTTGCAACTTTACAGATCTTCTTTGTGCATCAAGAGCTTGTAACACTACAAAGAGAAATTAAAAATTGAAATCGCATCATATGACCCCTTTAACTAAAACCATGGGCCTTGGAGATTCATAAAATGTTAGCGGCTGCCTGTTTTTTTAAATTGAAAAGAAAAGAAAAGAAAAGAAAAGCATATCAAGGAACACAAAATAAATATCTGTGGCTCCTGGCATTTTATTGAGGTCTTATAGTGAAACATTCGATCTGTGCAAGAAACTGAACGTTTACATTATTGAACTATCCCTTTAATCTTTAAAAACACTAATCATATGATAACACTGTTAAATATAATCTTTACATAATTTCAAAAATGAATATCATTTTTTATGGTGTTCCTTAATGTTTTAATGCTTAAATCCAATTTATTTATTTATTTATGAATTTTTGAATTTATTTATTTTCACATTTATTTGTTTTAAAAAAAATTCAAATTTAGTAATTTATTTGTTTTCAAATTTAGCAATTTATTTTCAAATTTAGTAATTTATTTATTTTCAAATTTAGTCATTTATTAATTTTCAAAATTTAAGTTTGACAGTATAGAATTTTAATATTGTCTTAGTATTATCAGAATCAGTGCATTCTTAGAGGGATTATATTTGTTTTAGCATAAAAAGTGTGGTTCAAAAGTAAACCAACCAATACTAAAAATATTATCTACACTGATGGAGTGATGCTGCTTGTTTGTGATAGCACAATTGATTTCTGCATGGAATAATGAATAGCAAGTTTACTTTTTCTTAACAGTAGAATATACATCTCTTTTTTTATTTCCAGATGCATCGCCTTATGTTGCTTATAACTTTGTAACATCTATAAAAAAATCATGCAAAAAATGGCAAAACCTAAAAAAGTTGCAAAATCGTCTCAGTTATACCCAGTTCTGTTTATCTGTTCAAGATCCCACCCATTTTATAAAAATGGCATCCAATAAATAAGTACCCGTTGTTCTCCATAGCGGCATTCTATTTGATTACACTTGTAATGGGTGACTAATTCATTAATACAACTGTATGAATAGCTGTCAGTAAATTAGGTCCCTGCTTTTATTTAGTATTTGCTAACTCCCTTAAAAGCCCCTCAGACTGTTCATGTTCACAGTGTAAAATGCAGTGGGGTTTAGATTTGTATCTTACAATGGGAGGTAGGAATGCTGAGGTACGGACCTGTGGACACACCGTGACAATTGACGCATTGGGCTTGGCATTTGTGCGTCTTCCAGAGTGCCAAATGACAATATCTATGAGGCTTAAAGTAAACATTAGAGTTGAAAAAGCTTTTATCCCCAGTGACAGCACACCGTTGTCCCAGTAATTCAACTCTAGCATTCACTTTGTGCCACACCTCTTCAGCTGAACAAAGACAAAAAGAGTATATACCCTTCTTTTCTTCTGAAGAGCTGTTTGGGGAGCCCATGGAAAGAAAATGGAAAAGAGGAATTTTTCATGGTATTGAAGCTGAATTCCAAATGCTTTTTTGCCCCTCCCATTTTCCTCCTTTAGGAAATGGGCGTAGATTTAATTGGTTTTATTACGTTGTAAAAAGTGAACGTGCATTTCGTCCCTTAAAGGGATAGTTCACCCAAAAATGAAAATTCTGTTCAGAAATTAGACTCATATCATTCCAAACCTGCATGCATTTCTGTCTTCTTCACAAAAGAGGTTTAGTTAAAACCCATTGCTCCCAACTGATTCCCTATATATATATTGTACGTAAAAAAGTACGAACTGCGTTCATTAGGAGAAAGAGATAGTTCAAACAAAAATGAAATGTCTGTTAATTGCTCAACCTTATGTCCATCCAAACCTGTGTGAGTCTCTTTCTTCTGCTGAACACAAAAGTTATTTTGAAGAATGTTGGTAACCAAACCGTTGACGGTAGCCATTGACTTCCATAGTATTTTTTCACCATACATTTACATTTGTTATCTACGTTCTTCAAAATAATTTATTTTGTGCTGAACAGAGGAAAGGGACTCTTACAGGATTGTAGAGGCTGTGAACGACGTGAGGCTGATTAAACGATGACAGAATTTTCATTTTTAGGTGAACCACCCCTTTAACTAACTGTAAATTTTTTAAACTCATCAAATTAATGTAAAAAAAATATTAAAGGGATAGTTCATCCGAAAATGAAAATTCTGTCATAATTTACTTAAAGGCACAATATGTAATTTTCGCCGCTAGAGGGCACGTATTCAAAATAAACAAAGATGCAAAGGCTTAGTTTGATGACGCTGTGACTGAGTATGGAATCATGGGAGTTGTGGTCTTCATCCCCACAGCCGATGCAATCTGACGGGACTTGGGCAGAAATCACGTTCATGGATGAGCTAATGATTTATTAACGTAGTAGAATGAAGCAGGGTGAGGCTGAAAGCCGTCGAAGCGAAACGAGGCCGCTGAACGAGCGTGACACACGGCTCGAAAGCAGCGGAGCTTTTATTATGCCACAGTCGA